GTGCCACAGGTGCGTGGTCGGATATAGTTCTAGGCAGAATCTCAATGTCCACTATCCTGTGTAGATCTGCCTTAGTGGTAAAGAAATAATCAATCCTTGAATAGGATGTATGTCTGCTTGAATAGAAGGTGAAACCCCTGCTTCTCGGAAACTTGCTTCTCCATATATCTACAAGGCCTGCTTCTAGGGATTGGTATTTGAGCATTCTACTCATTCTAGAGAGTGGAGCTTTAGAGGCAGGTTGTCGGTCCATTAATTGTGGCATTACGCAATTCAGGTCTCCTCCCATCAGTAGCAGCCCTGAACTATATTGTAGGATCTTATTGAACAACGTCCTGATAAAGCCCGGCTCGTCTTCATTAGGTGCATATACATTTATGAGGGACACTTCTGTGCCATCAATTAAAATATATATCCCCTCCGTGTCTTTATGAACTAGTGTTTGTGTGAAATTAATTTGTCTGTGTATGAGTATGGATACTCCTTTTTTTTTTTTTCTCCCTGACCGGTGTGAAGAGTAATATACTTTATCTGCCTAAGACCTTTTCATGTTCCGCGTCAGATAAGTGGGTTTCCTGAATGCAATGTGACAGTTGGCCTGTTTCATCTGATGCAGAATTTTCTTTCTCTTAACAGGGCTATGGAGGCCTTTGACATTATAACTTATAACTTTTAGTGGGTCCATTACGTACGGTATGTAATTTGCATATTTTGGGAGTTTGTGTAGAGAGATGGGAAGCGGAAGCAAACAGGCAGCACGTGGGTCATATATCTTGTTATGTGGAGTGTGGAGAGTTGGACTAGATAATGAAACCAATGGGGGTGGGGTAAAAAAGGGTATTTAAGAAAAATGGATGATGACCTTGTTGTTCTTATATCCAATGTAGGATCCCCGGAGAACAGTGGGATCAGAACAAGGGGAACGCAACAGTTGTAACTGCTGTTAACTAACATTAACAACAGTTCGGTGGGACCTAGTCCCTAGCCACTAAGGGCAAGTAGTAACAGTGCACAGTCAAGATTGAATTGACTATGCTAAGATAAGGAATAGAGAGAGAAAGAAGAAAAAGAAAAGAAAAGTAGACACAGAAAAGGACGGTGTCGAGTAATGGCCGTTCAGGCCCCTGCAGTTCCTGGCATAGGTCTGTAAAGTCAAAACAGCTCCTCATGGTAAAATAGTGTTTGAGTTGCACGCAGAGCTAAAGGTGTGTCAGTAGTCTCCTCTTAAGGTAGCTGCCAGTGAGCAAGTATAGCGGAATGATACAAGCAACATGAATAGAAACTAGAAAATGCATTTCCTGCTGAAAATGCGTTGGAATGCTGAAAGCTGAAATTAATTGTAAAAAAATTGCTGAAAATTAAGAAATGGGAGACTACCCGTCTGAAAAATGTTGAAGCCCGAAAGCATTTAAACTGCACTGCTGAAAACCCTTCTAGTTGAAATGTCTAAATATGGTGTCTGTAGCTGAAAGTATGAGAAGAAGAAGGCTTTGAAAGTTGAAGACGTTTAACAGGATTTGAAGATTTTCTCCATAGAGATCCCTTTCAAAAAAATTGCAAATAGCTTAATATTTCAAATATGAAAATTCATTTCACCCATCTCCTGAAAGAGCTGAACATTTTGATATTCGAATGGTTTCTGTGGCTTAAAAAATGTCAGCAGTAGTGATATTTGTAGTAGTAGTACTAGAAGTTGTAGTAGAAGTATTATTAGTAGTAGAAGTATTAGTAGCATTAGAATAAGTAGTAGTAGTAGCAGTAGTGATATTTGTAATAGTAGTTGTAGTAGAAGTATCATTAGAAGTAGTAGTATCCGTAGTAGTAGTAATAGCTGTAGAAGTGGTCGTAGTATTTAATATATCAGTAGTAGTAGAAGTAATAGTAATAGTAATGGCAGTATTTGAAGTAGCAGTAATAGCAGTAGTAGTAGTACTAGTAGCAGTCGTACTAATAGCTGTAGTAGTATTAGTACTGGTAGTAGCATGAATAGCAGTAGTAGCAGTTGTAGTATAAGTAATAGTAGTAGTGGTAGTAATAGCAGTAGTGGTAGTAATAATATTGATGGTAGCAGCAGCAGTAATAGCAGTAGTAATAGTAGTAACAGCAAAAGTTGTAGTAGAAGTAGTAGTAGTAGTAGTAATACTAGAAATATTAGCAGCAGCAGTAGTAGTAGTTGTTGCAGTATTAGTAAGAGCATTAATTATTTCAACAAAAAAAGCCTAATTTTGAGCTTAATGTTTAAATACAGTTAATCCATGGGGCTTTTATTTTGAAAGGGTGGGGCTGAGAGGGGGAGAGGAGACATAATCTTAATGTTTGACACAAACAGAGGTTATTAAATGATAGGCTTCATCACAAGAATTGCAGTTATATTTCACTGGGGGGGGGGGATCCTCTGAGAGAGACAGAGAGAGAGACAGAGAGAGAGAGAGAGAGAGACTCTGTGTGTTTATCAACATCACTAATTAGCTTAATCAGAAACACCCGTGTCCTTGCAGCCTTTTAATGGAGATAAAACAGGGAAACACCTCTCAAACAAATCCTCAAAACTCCCATAACCGTAGCTCCTATTGCTCCGATATTAATAAATGAGAGGAAGGATGAGTTGAAGAACAGATCCTGTAAAAAATGTGGCTCAACTGGCGATCTAGAAATGGGGTACCGTGTTCTGTGGAAGATGTTTTTGAAGCAAAATTTAACATTGGTCTCTATGGAGCAGAAAGTTGGTTTTCCTCTCAATTACAGGCTTCTGTGCCAAATGTGTAAATCTTTGGGATTCCACAGTAATTTGTCTACGACAAGGACAATATTAGCTACTTTTAAATCCAGAAATTATGCGTTAAGATTGTGGACTCAGTGGCAAAACGCACATCTTTTTTTCACAAGAATCTCAAGCTGCTCTTCACTCTAGCGGTGACATCACGCACTCTAAGCTGCGCAATACACACCCATTATAAAGTCAGAAAAGGGCTGAAAAAGTCATAAAAGTTAAATTGCTGCAGTTCAAAAAGTTTAAAAGATATCAAAAATCTGAATCATGCGGCAATAGCTCAGGGTTTTCTCAACATTTTAAAGTTGAAATGGTGTCTGTAGCTCAAAGTATGAGGAAGTAGAAGGATTTGAAAGTTGAAGAGGATTTGAACATTTTCTCCATAGAAACCCATTCAAAAATAAATGTGCAAAAAGCTTAATAATTCAAAAAGTTTAAAGATTATAATTAAGAAAAGTCATAGCACCCCTCTCCTGAAAGAGCTGGACTTTTTTTTATATTTGTATGGTTTCTGTAGCTTAAAATATGAAGGAGCAGAAGAGTTTGAAAAAACGTACGGAAGAAATATAAACGGAAGAATAAAGAAAACAGTATAACAATAGTTAACAGCATTCCAACAATAACGGGCACAGTATAGGCTATAAGGGTTTGTGTCCTGGTAATGGAGATGGGTATATTAAAAATATTAGCTATGAGACACATTTTTCCTTTTCCCTTCTCAGGTGTGGTTCGAGTAATATAAAATAAAATATTATTTAAATATAAAATAAAGTAGGAAATAATGATGTGCCAATATGTGAAATTGCAAAACTCACTGGTCAGTCCTTACTGTGATCAACAGTACTGGTTGGGATACATTTAGTCAGCAGCCTCAGTAGCTGGGATAACCTTCTTCTGGACATACTCCATGGCTTTGCTGGGATCCAGAAACTCTTCGTCTTCGTTGTTGTGTGAAATCCGGAGTCTGGCTGGGTACAGTAGACCGTAGCGGACTCCCTTCCTTCCTCGTAGGGCCTTCCGTATGTCCATGAACGCGGCTCTGGCTTTGGCAACGCTGGGTGTGTAGTTTGGGAAGATAGCGATCCGGTTCCCGTTGTAGACCAGCGGTGCTCTGTCTCGGGCTCTCCTCAGGATCTCAACAGCATCTCCGTCATTGTGCACTTTAGCGATGATCACTCGTGGTTTCTCCTGGTGGCGAATGTGCGGTGCGATCGGTCGATCTTTATGTCCCGGTCCATCTGCAGGACTTCTTTAATAATTTTGGCAACTGTTTTAGGGGAGCTGGAGTCCGGTTGTTCTTGAATGCCGGCTATTCGGATATTACACCGTCTCATTCTCCCCTCCATATCCTCGCACCGGTCTGTTAAAGTTGTCACCTGTCTTTGAAGGCTGGTTATCGTAGCTTCTTGTGCGACCACCTCGTCGGACCATGTTGATAAGCCGCCCTTCATGTCTTGTATGTCGGCTTTCATGTGCTCAACTTCTGTTTGGATGGCGGTCGTGTTCTTAGCAATTTCGGACCACACCGCTTGTAATTCGGACTTGAGGGTATTGAAATCTTCCGCTAGCGCACTTTTAAGTTCCTCTCTTATAATTTTAGAAATATCTCCCTTTATGGAAGATAAGATGTCCGCTTTCATTCGTTCAGTGGTCATACCTGGGCTTTCACTTCGGTTGGGGGAGGTTTGGTCCGGGTCACCTGGTGGACTCTGTCTCGTGGTTCTTGTAGGCCGCGATGAGCTGCCGCCGGGTTTATATTTGTATTTATTAAGCTTTTCCGCCATTCAAAACGACGTAACTTGCATAAATCAGAGTTTGGCCTCTTTGAGTTGTCCTCGGTGAGCTTTGAGGCTGGTATTTCTGTAATAGTAGCTGTTTTTTGATAAAAATATTGTCGGTTCTGCAGGAGCACTGAAATTTGCGTCTTGCTCGCTAGCGCCCCCCATGAGGTCTTTTTAAATAGACACTGCACCTTATTCATGGGTTCAGATAATCATTGAAGTGTCAACCGCAGGCTGGCCATTAAGATGTATTGGTTAATGTAACAGAATAATCAGTGGTTGTTGGGTCTGAATGTCCTCCACTTATCTATAACCTCAGAAGATGAGCACAGTGGTTTATACAGAGGTGTCAGCAGTGGTAGCCTAGTGCTTTATAATAGTATTCTCCATATATTAAAGTGACTAAGTGGACTGACTGACGCAGAACGTGTGGTGGTTTGTGTTTGCAGGTTTGAGAGCACAGTGCAGATCAGTAAGCTGCAGGACCTGGTGAACCGGAGTAAGCTGGCTCGCTGCAGAGGGAGGTTCGTCTGTCCGGTCATCCTCTACAACGGCAAGGTACTGCTGCTGCTCCTCACTTTACTTTGTCTGCAGTCAGTTCCTGCACTAGTAATATTGTGGATTACCAGTGTAAATGCCGGTATGTCTAGAAGCTGTTTTGGTGTCTGTTTCCTTGGTGTTTGCTTTCCGTGTCTCCAACATTCCTAATGTCCAGAGCTGCGACGAATATTCTATGAATTGATTAGTTGTCAACTATTAAATTAATCACCAACTACTTTGATAAGCGCTTAATCAGTTTGAGTAATGTTTTAAGAAAAAAAAGGAAAAATTCTCTGAAAACAGGACGTTTGAGGATGTCATCTTGGGCTTACAATGACCAACCAATTGTGTGATTATTCCAGAAAATCATCTACAGATTAAACAACAACAACAACAAAAATCTATAGTTGCAGCCCTGCTGGCTTTAGTTAACTAGTACAGTGCCGGTTTGTGGCGTGGCCGATTAGAGCATCGCATTAAGAAGTGCAGCTTGCAGCGCTGACGAGAACTACTCATCGCTTGTTGACTCCAGGGAAGTGAAGAAGAGTTTGGTTGTAATGTTGGTATATCCGGCATCCAGCAGTAAAAGTGAATTGCGGTCAATGAGCATTGGCCTGGAAAGGCCCGCTGCAGACCACATGTCCTGAAGCTCTGCCCCGCACAGAGTGCCAACACTTGTTTTTTGAAAGTTTATTGATAATAAACGTGTTCAAACTGCACCAAATTTGACACATGCTTGGGTCCCTAACAATACGCCCACCTTCTTCCTATAGCCCTTATTCTGGAGCCCCTGCTCAGACCACACCCTCCTTCATTTTGATCTCAACTACAGGCCTATGATGTGCAGTTCCTGCTACAGTAGGTGTCGTTATTTTGCCACGATGACACACGCCAAATCACTGAACAGTGAATCGCGAAACAAGTTGTATTTGAGGCAGAGAGAGGTTGACAGGAAGCGTTTCGTAACAACTGCAGTGCCGCCTAGTGCATTACATGTTGTGTGCCAGTCTTTCTTTCATTTCTTTCAGTTCTAGTTGAACAATCACACAAACATCAGTCAGGAAAATAACCTTTTGTTGTTGGTGTGAGGACACCTTCTCTTGACGTGTTTAACAGCAACTGAAGACACGTTGAGAGCCGATGGCAAGTCCATCAACACATTCAATACTTACAAATGAGTTTTCTGTACATTTAAACCTCACTGCTGCAGAGAATGTGAAATTGAAATAACATCAGCATTACAACCCGGGCCGAAGCCAAAGTAAGAAATACCTCCATGTTTGTTCCGGCTGGTTAGGTGACCAACTAATCATTCTTGGAACAACATGCTTGTATGAGCCGTGAGACAACAGTCTGATCCCGTATTGTTTCTCCCACATCGCAGCATATTTGCCGGTCGTCCACTCTGGCGGGATGGGGGGAGCTGTATGGACGCACGGGCTACAACTACATCTTCTCAGGTACCACGCACACACACGCTCTCATTTGACTGTAACATCCAACACATTGTTGGTAAACTATATATAACCTATTCCTAATGGTGCATCAGTGCTTCATAACTAGTTAATAGCGTGCACTGGGGCCCGTCATAGCTACCTTTATTTTTATTGAACAGAGCTTGAACACATCATAATGTAACCTCCGTTAGCTTTAGCCGTTTTCTCTGTTAGCCCAAGCAGCCCACCGGCTGCTAACCGCTAACATTAGCTTGCCCTCCTGCTGCTGATTTCTACACAGATTTGTTGTTCACGATGCAGCATTATCATGGACATCTTCTATCGTAGAAGTATCGGGTCTCATGGCATCCCTCGTCACACAACAACTTAAGTTTAGCCTAAACAGGGGAAGTTGCGGCCAACTTATTTTCCATGAGAGGTTGCACTTCCTTGTTTTCTCTCTGACTTGTTAATATTTGCAGCAGTTGTCAGACGGCGGTCAAACTTTTCCTATTGCGGCACAGTGTTCCTGTAAGAGACTGGTTAGCCTCATTCAGAAGTACAACCAAAACAAAGGAATCTGTCTTACAGACACATACTGTAATATCATGAAAACAATGACAAAAGGTTAACAATAAAGTACAATAGTTAGGGCCCGAGCAACCGACAACGTCGGGCCAGCGAAGGCCCTATTGATATTGTACCCGTTTGGGTAAATGTACGCATGGTTGGAAGACTAGCCATGAATGAAAACTCACCAAATTTTGGGGACTTGTCAGGCCTGGTAAAAGTAGCCATCTGAAAAAGAATGCATCTTACTGTGTAAAAAAAAAATGGCTCTCTAGCGCCCCCTACAAGTCGGACCGGCGACGCCCCTCGGCCAGTATGTCCGATTTACTTGAAATTCAACACACATGTCCACTTGAGCTAGATCTACAAAAAAGCCAATCAGACCCCTAAGCTCCGCCTACTTAGATTTTCCGCCATATTGAATTTAGTGTAAAACACATTTTTGCGAACTCCTCCTACATGCTTGGTCTGATTACTACCAAATTGGCTGTGGATCATTACTGGATATAAGTCGTCAAAACTTATCAAAAGCTTTTTGATAACTCTTTTCGTTTACACGATATGGACCAATAAACTTCTTAGGGGCGAGGCTTAATATCAATACACATAACCTCTCAACCGTTTGTCCTAAAATTACAAAACTTGCAGCATATGTGCACATCATATCCTGTAACATACCCTGAGAATTGTTTTGCAGTCAACCACTAGGGGGCGCTACAGTAAGCCCGCGAAGTTGTGCTTTTTTGTCACTTTTTGCATTTTTCAGCCTTCGCACTTCAACAAACTCCTCCTAGAGATTTTAAGCAATCAACTTCTACTCTGGTCAGGATGCTCTTAAGACCTTTGTGATGAAAAGTTATCAAAATCGAGAGTTTTCATTGAAGAACCTTGATGTGGCGTGGCGGCCATTTTGCCTCATTGTTTATCAAAACATAAGTTATTATAAGTTCTTATAAGTCCAAGGTACATTATCCACTCCGCACAAAACTTCTGCATGATGCTACTTCAAGCCTAAACATACTTCAATTGAAATAAATTCAATAACTCATAGTGCCGCCTACTGGCTAAAGGAAATGTCATATTCTATACTTTTATTTATTTCTCCTAGCCAGGTGACCTGATGAGTCTAAAATTTGGTAAGGATAACCTTAAGACATTGATGATGGATCATCATGAATTTTGCGAGTTTTTGTTGAACCCTGTTGCCATGGCGACGCATCGTTTGTCACGAAAAAGGAAGCTGATGGTTTAGTGAGTTGGGATGCTTAAAAACTCATGGAACTTTGTACATGTGTCACAGGTCATTGGAAGAAATAGTTTATATGATTTTTTGGGGGTCGACTGTGGCTCACTGGCTTAAGAGGGTTGTCTGGTAACCGCGGGGTCAACGGTTCGATCCTTGACTGGGACGTGCCACGTGTCGAAGTGTCGAAGCAAGACACTGAACCCCAGGCTCCCCGGGCGCCTGTCATTGGCAGCCCACTGCTCTACAGCGATGGGTATATACACGAAATATATGACGAAATATATGACGATAAAAAGGGTTTCTTCTTCTTTTCTTTTTTTATTGGCCGTTTTAAATTGCCTCTATAGCTTTAATATTTCAAAAGAGCAGCCCTAGCGCTACGTTTTGGCTACATGTATGAAACTTGGTAGGCACATGTGGAGACTTAAAAATAAGTCTCTTGGAACCATGCTCTAAACCCTACCGGAAGTCGGCCATTTTCAATTTTGTATGAATTTATACAATATTTCGACGATGCAGCCCTCGCAGTACGTTTCACTATCTATATATAAAATTTAGATGTATAACATTTGGTAAACGGATGTATCACATGTAGACTTACAAAAAAGCCCCCGGAGCTCTAAGCTCTAAACCCAACCGGAAGTCAGACATTTTGAATTTAGTGAAAAAAAACACATTTTTGTGAACTCCTACACGCTGGGTCCGATTTCTACGAAATTTGCTGTGGATCATAAGTGGATCTAGATCATCAAAAGTTATCAAATTCTTTTTGATATCTCTTTGCGTTTACAAGATATGGACCAATACACTTCTTAGGTGCGTGGCAAAATATCAATACACATAACTTCTCAACCATTTGTTCTAAATTCCCAAAATATTCAGCATATGTGCACATCGCATCCAGTAACATACCCTGACAATTTGTTTGCATTCGACCACTAGGGGGCGCTACAGTAAACCCGCAAAGCCTACTGGCTAAAGGAAATGTCTGATGTAACTCAGCTGGACTTGTTCCAAACGGTCCCAAACTTCTCATGCTTGATAACACTCATGGCCTGAGGATGTCTACAAGCTAATTTTCACTAATACTCACAGCGCCACCTGCTGGCGAAAGGAAATCTGTGGTTTGTGACAAACAGCATCAGATTTACATGACTTTTACACAATGTGGTTTACATTTGACACAGAGCTACATAATGCATGTTTGCACGCTTTCTGTAGCGCCAGGCAGCGGATACAGGAAGCGTCGGACTATTTGCAAAGCATCATTTCCAGCATCAGGCGGTCCACGCGTGATTAAAAATGCAGCTTTAATTTGTCTTGTTTCCGACGTTCAGAAATGTAAAATACTGTGGTGAGGCGTTGAGAATGTTAGCTGGAGTAAAATATGCAGCAACACTGTTTCCGGTTCTTTTGAAGGATAATACCGTTGTGTTACTACTTAAGTCAGTAGGATCAGTTCTCAGACTATTGCATCTCAGAATTCTGTGATATCTCTGACAGAGCAGCAACAGGAGGAGCCAGAGGATCAGGAACACTTCACCCCCAATATAACCATATGAATGGAAGTAAAACTAAATCCAAACATCTGGTCACAAACTATTTTGAGCGCTTCAAACTCGTCCGGACGAGTAGCACACCTGCACAAGCGTGAGCTTGTTTTGTGCAGAAGTGTTTTAGAACGGGAGGTTTTGGGGAGATGCACGTGTTCTCTAGTGATCTCTGTTTTACTCACAGCGGCAGTATGAGAGAGAAGTTTTCTTCGGGTTGGGTAACTGAACAAATGATCATTTTTGGGGGTGAAGTATTCCTTTAAATGTATTGCATTGTTCAACCAACAGTTCAAAATATTGAATTCCCTCACATGTAATCACAATAAAAGCAGCTTATTCTTATAGTTGAGAACCTGGAGATATCAAATGTCTGAAATCATCAATCAAGTCAAAATAGTTGTCGGGTAGTTAAATGGTTGCTTAAATGATGGCTTTGATTGCTTGTTTGATGAGCAATAGAAGTGATGGGCAGAACTACAGAAATGATGTTCAGTCGCTCGCACACAGCAGTGAGCAATCAAAAGGCTCGAAACTCTTGATTGTATTGAGGGCTACGCCTGATTATCCACCTGTTGAGTGTCATTCTATTTGCTCTATATATTATTATTATAATATATGTCACTTAAAATCATAAGTCCAGCTCCTTGTTGTCAGGGTGCAGTGGCGATCTGCTCCTGTAGTAATCAGCATCTCATCTCTAAGACTCTCTAAGACTCGGCCTGCAGCACCTTCTGTGAGCTATCAGCAAATGAATTGAGGTGGAGAGGCTGACTGGGCTTTTACAGTACTTCCATTCATTTGGCAGATGCCTTTGTTCAAAGCACTTAAAATAAGTCCATTCACGCTCCATAAGAACAAGAGCTAGATGTCATCAGAATTGTAAGTGCATCCATACAGTGTCTTTTCTGTATTTATTGTGACAAACTCAAAACATTCTTCTAAAGGAGGTTGTGTGGATGTTCTACACATCTACTGAAGATATGTAGTGTACTCTAGTTCATTTCCAAAGCAGGGTCAGGACCAACAGGAGATACATTAGTAGAATAATATCTTTTTAATTGTTTATATCTTGATCTGCAGTACACCTTTGAGCCACACGAGGGAGCCTGAATGTTCACGTAGTTCTGATACTTGTAGTCTTCTTATAATGTTGAATCTGATATGAAAGGCAGGAGCACCTCTGTATGTTTTACTGATGAGAGGAAGTGAAAAGAATGAGATGTCTTTTCACTCCTAAATTATTTCATTTGGTCTCATTTATAAAGTATTACATATGTGTTTTTATAACACATGCATAAACGAAAGTAGGGATTCATCAAATCTATATCTGTTTAGCTATTCATGATGATATCAGACGATGTAGAAGGCAGTGGAAATGTTCTGGAGTGTTTCTAAACACTGTTCAAATTGATCACAAGTTGTTTTGAGTCACACACACACTAACTGAGTCTGAGGGTGACGATATGTCAGCAGATTTAGCTAGAATCAGTTTGAAAGTGAGATTAGAAACAAGCTTCGTGGATAAGTTGTTAACATCCATCTGTTACAAATAGGAATATCTGTAATATTTCATATTTTTATGCTGCGACCACCTGTATGCTGAACAAAAGAGTAGATCTTCACTACGTCCTGCTGGAGCCTCACACAGACTGAAGAGTTGAAGGAATACAGATGTGTATGTTGAAGCCTTAAGAAATCTGGTTTAACATATCAGCAGATTTCTTTCTTTTAAATGTTTTGGACAAATGCATCTAAAACTAGATTTCTTACTAATTGTAACTTTTGGGCCATCATATATAAATGTCATAACCTTTATAACTAAATACCTGAATGTGACTTGGTATAGAAGACAGTAATAGCAGCACTAGTAGTAGTATTTTATGTTTTTCAAATGTCCGTTTCCAGCACAATTCATCCCTAATATCTTTCTTAAAATGTGTCCAGCACTTTGGCTCTGAATGATATTGTGTTTAACACTGAATTAGTTTTCAACAGGATTGCCTGCGTTTTATATTTTCTCAAACTGTAAGATTGAATGATGAACAGAGTTTGAGTCTTTGTCATTAGACGTTCAACTTGTATGCTTCTGCTTTTTCTAGGGGGCATTGATGACACGGAGTCTGAGGAGGTTCCAGAGGATGACAGTGCAGTCAGGTAATCAAAAGACTTTTTAGGTTTCTATATAATTCTATAGCTTCACAGTGGTCTTCCTTATGTATCAAAATCCAAACATTCCCATTTTGGTCAAAGCACATATGTTTCAGCATCAAAATACTATTTTGAGCTTCTAGAAATACTTTCCCACATGACCTGACCTAGGTTCCTGCATGACACTGCTACATATACACAAATATCCTTGACCAGTGTACTACCTACAGTAACTTAGTACCGGCACGGAAGCTTAGCCATGTACTGCTGTGGTTCCGATCTGAAAGTCGTAGCACTGGAGGTCAAATTCCTGTTTTTGTTAATGGAGTCTTGTGGCTTTGAAAAGAACCATATAACAGCTTCAGTTCCCAGAGGTCCATAACCTCTTTACCTCCTTACAGCCTTTTCTGACGGGGAACTGAAGCTGTTGTATCTCCAAGACTCCATTCAAAAAAA